TTGGGCACTAGCAGCGGTGGCCCCGTCCCGGGGAGGAGGAGCGAGCCTCCCGGCGGGCGCCCCTCCTGCCCCGTGCTGGGGCAGCCTGCGTGGCGCCCCTCCTGCCCCGTGCTGGGGCAGCCTGCGTGGCGCCCCTCCTGCCCCGTGCTGGGGCAGCCTGCGTGGCGGGCGCCCCTCCTGCCCCGTGCTGGGGCCCCCTGCGTGGTGCTGATGACAGAGAGCACAGCACAGCCCGCAGCGCTGCCCTCGGGGAGGCTGATTTCTGTTTTCCACAGTCCCATTACAGCAGAGTCTCTCCTTACTGCCGGCCCATTAAGCGTAATTAGGACGCGCTGGGTGGGAACGGTAATTACATCGGAGGCTCAGAGCCACAGAGCTTGGCGCCACCATGGGTCGGGGTCTGGCTGGGAAAGGAGGGGCTAGGATGGGGGGCCCCAAGCGGAGGAGCACGGTCCGGCCCGGCCCTGTCCTCCGCTCCACCCGGGCCCAATGGCAAAGCAAAGGAAGCTCCTTGAAGGAGGCGCCGGCCTCCCAGGGCCCACCTGCCCCTGGCCGCTCACATCCCCGGGGGCGGGAGCGGGGCCGCAGGCAGGCCGCGTGGCCCGCTGGCCCCAGGGCCCTCCTGCTCTGGGCACACCCGTGTGGCGGGTGGGTGGGAGCTCTGTGCTGGTGGCACCCAGCTGCCCCGGGCCGTAGGGGGGGTGGGGAGGGGCTGTTCAAGGTCGCGTGCTGAGGGTGGTTGCTGCGGTCCCCGCCACAGCGTGGAGACTGGGCTGCCGGCAGGGCCTGTTCTGCCCACGGCTGACCTCCAGAGGCCGACGTCCTTCTAACGGCAGGGCCCGGGGGGGGGTTGGGCAGCCCAGCGTGCTGGGCATCCCTGAGCTGCCCCCAGTCTCTGGTGCTCTGGCTCCGGGCCCAGGTGGGCCCGGGTGGCTGGCCCCTTCCCAGAGACGCCTGGACTCTGGGCCAGCACAGGCCCCTGCTGCCACCTTGTGGCCCCTCTCGGGACATGCATTCTTGCTCCAAGGGAGTCCCCGTGGCCTGGGGACACGGGGTGGAGCCGCACCCCGGGTGGGTAAGGTGCGCCCCGCGGGGTGGGTGTCCTCTCCGAGTGCTCCTTAACCCGTCCCCCGCACGTGGTTCGAGCACGTCAGCATGCTGGTGATCATGCTCAACTGTGTGACCCTCGGCATGTTCCGGCCCTGTGAGGACGTGGAATGCCGCTCGGAGCGCTGTCACATCCTGGAGGTGGG